AACTTTCCAGCAACGAAAACGAAGAAGATTATGCGATACCGGTGAATAGGCAAAAAATAAGAGAATCGCGATATGCAGCTTTTTCGAATAAAAATAAAAACGGTAGCAAGAATAAGAGAAGAAATTCGATTCACACAACATCATCAATCAGCAGCAACAATAGTATCAATGTATTCTCGGTTGCTCATTCTACGATTGATAATGACTATCAAGTGGATACAAACATTACGAATTATAGTACAAGTGAAGAGGACGGAAAGAATTATCAACTTCACGGTAACCATGGCGATGTGGTAATAGTGGACGAGAAGTCGGAATCAGAAAATAAAGAATACTGGATAAATAGGATCACGAAGATGGTGGAAGACGATGATCCACGAAAAACATTTACTTTGGAATCCGTCAGTTCTGGGTAGGAATAATTGAAAAGTTTGATTGAGAAAGTCTTACAAAATTACTGATAATATTCTTCATGTTAAAACAGTGGTAACGGAAAGGTCTACAAGGCAACCAATAAGATCAACCAACAAACCTTAGCCATAAAAGCCATCTCGTTATCCACCTCGAAAATGCCAAACATTACCTACGCCGAGGTGATGTGCACCAGAATCATGAAACACCCGAATATTATTGTGAACCATAAACAGTGTATAACGAACAATAATTGTGATGTTAGATATGAAGGAGAGCACAAACGCGGCGTTCATCAATCTAATGGTGAATTACACGAGAATAACAACAACAGAAGCACAACAAATAGTAGTATAATATGCGGTAACAATACACTATATTTGATAATGGAATTCTGTAGTGCTGGTTCACTATGGGACGTAAGAAATCGAAAGAAAAACAAGAGATTTAGCGAATTAGAAGTAGGGTATATAATGCGAGAAGTACTGCGAGGTTTGGAATATGTACATGGCATGGGTATAATACACAGGGACATAAAGGCTCAAAATATCTTGATTGGAAATGATGGGCTGATTAAGATTGGTAAGTATTATTGTTGTGGAAGATTGTATTGTATATGCATTTTTGGTAATCTGATTATGCTTGAAATTTGAAACAGCCGATTTTGGATCGGCGTCATTGCACTCAAAGGCTTCCTTGAAACTGGGAACATTATATTGGATGGCACCAGAAGTATTGCGAGACAATCAGGTGTATGATTGCAAAGTGGACATTTGGTCATTGGGTATAATGGCCATCGAGTTGTTTGACGGGAGACCACCGTGGTATCCCATGGGGCAACGAAGGGTGCGTATTCATTTGTGTAATGGATTCATATCATATTATGAGATTCCTATTCAAAATAAATATTCCCAAAATATAGGTCGTAGAATTGATAAGGACTGTGGGTACACCTCCGTTACCGTCAGGTATATCCGAGGATTTTGAATCATTTTTGAGAGATTGCCTGAAGGTGAACCCGAGGGAACGACCTGATGCCAGAGAATTAATGTTACATCCATTCTTAGCATGTGCTGAAATTAATGGGATTCACGTGGAGTAGACGAGATGCGATATGAAGAAATATAGAGATGTATTATATTCGTCTTACAAAAATTATTAACTTATTATATTAGATCATTTAAATCGTATTTATTAAAAAAGCAATAAATTAACGCAGAATGTATATTTCTATACAAGAAATATTCTTTGTTTTTTTTTTTTTCCGACGCAAAATTTTATTACTTATAAAGGTCTATCCAATATAATTTGCGCGGATGGACAAATATAAAATATCCATTGCAAATACCATGAATGATTTAGAATCAGTGTTTTTTTCTTTTACTCGATTCTATCATTTCTGGCATTATAGTGATATAGACACCTTCCTGAAATTAAAAATAATCAAAAAAGGAATGAGAAGCAAAGCAAATGCAAGATGCATTTTTGTTTTAATAAACCTCACCTGGTATCACTGAACATTGAGTCATCTTGAAAATGACTGTTCAATTAACAAAATCCATTTTGCTTTCCATGCGATTATCATTCAAGCGATCCTCTGCGGAAAGACATATTATTATTATAATTTCGTGTATTTAAATGCCTTAATGTAGGCGAACTAGCATTATATGATTCTCGCAGATTTGTAGCAGAACTAGACCGTGACTCCCGCAAACTATGATTATTATTATTAGGAGGAGGAGGCGGTCTTGATGATCCATTAATATCTTCATTCATAGGTTGACTAGAATATATTGTTGAACCTCTAATTTATAGAAAATATTAGATATATGAAACAGTTTTGTTTGTAATTATTATAATAAGTAAATTCTCACCGGAACCCATTCCAATGTTGCTTTTTGGCTGGTGAGATATCTTTGGCGGCTCCACTTATCCTGGGATGTGCATTTCCTCCGGCATTGCTGTTGGCATATCCGGTGAATCCAGATAGACCAGGACTCGGTGGCAAACCATTTGTCATAATACTATTCGAGACTCCTACGTTGTTTATTACGCGTCTTCTGTCATCTCTATTTGTTAGAGCTGAAGATGAAGTACCAAGATTTCCGTATGATGGACTTGTCAGGTGTTCCGCGAAGCCAAACTTTTTATCGATAACTTTGTCAAAAAATGCATCGATCTTTTCGGATGCTATGGAATTAGGTTCAAAATGAGTGGGCGCCAATGTACACTTTAGAAAATACGAACGCAAGAATAATACTTAGTATCGTGATGACTATAATGTTGACACAAAGAAAACATCCACACACCAGGTTCACACAGTCACCACCATACTCGTCGACGATACTATATCTCCTTTGGCGCCCCGTTAATTCTTGTTTAACGAGGTCCGCTTTGGTACCAACCACTAAAATCGGCACATTTGCGTGACGTTCATTTCCAACTTGCAACTCAAAATCATAATCTAAAATTATTTAAGATTGTCAATTCAATTCAGTAACAATCTCCACTCGAACATGTGAAACGTTACTACCATTGAGTCTATGAACATTCACTCCGCCATTTCCACTTATCCAGCTTCCACTTGCACTCATGGACCCACTCCCACTCATCCAACTTCCGCTTGCACTCATAGATCCACTCCCGTTTATCCAGCTTCCCGATCCACTTGAACTACCATTACCCCAATTTACATTCGAACCACCCCCAATATTGTTGTTTACCCTTTCACTTTCTTTATAAGCGTCCGAGTAGATAACTTCAGCAATCCATTTCCACAAATTGTAATAGGA